AAGAATGTTTATATTTTGTTAATCTTTCACTGAAGGCTTTCAGAAGCAAAGTAAAGCAGACATTGAACACAGTGAATTATATCTCCCTTCTCCCATTTCCTATTTCCCTCTCACTATTTGTTTGTTTGTTTGTTTGAGATAGGGTCTTGCTGTATGTTCTAAGCTGGCCCTGAATTTACTATGTAGTCCAGGTTGGCCTCCTACTCCCGAGTAATTAATTTTTTGATATTCTACTTTTTTTTTGTTTGTTTGGTTGGTTTTTTTGAGACAGGGTCTCACTATGTAGTTGAGACTGACCTGGAACTCACTATGTAGCCCAGGCTGGTCTCAAACTCACAGCAATCCTCCTGCCTCAGCCTCCCGAGTTCTGGGATTATAGGCATGCGCCACTACGCCCGGCCATTATTCTGCCTTTTTTTTTTTTTTTTTTTTTTTTGATACTCTATTTCTAAGTCTTTTTCTGTTACTATCCTCAGATATCTTAATTTCCTGTTTTTTCACTCTCCATTTACTTTTTATTTTTATTTTACTAAAATTTCATTATGGCTGCACACATTTGCCCTATATCCTGCATCCTAGTGCCCCACAACCCAGCTTTCTTGGTAAACTGTAAGCCTTCCAGGGCCCAGCTTTGGTTCTCTGTGATGGTACTGTTATTTGCACCATCCCCTGTACACTTTCTCTTGGTAGCTTCTTGCTACCTCTGTCAAAATACTGCTTATATGGGAAGGGTATTTAGCTCAGTGGTGCTGCTGCCTGCCTCACAAGCACAAGGTCCTGAGTTCAGTCCGCTTTACCAAAAAAAAAATACTGCTCATGTTGTGAAAATTACCTGTTTACATGTTGCCACCTCTACTAAATGGTGCTCCCTTTGAAGACAGGGATATTGTTGTATTCTTTTCATAGTTTCAGTGCCTGACTCATAATAAATATGTTTGCTAAGTAAATGAATTAATGGTTGGATGCATGGAGCAAGTTATTTAAAAAACATCGCTTTGAGGAATGGATATATCTGTGATAGAAACAAGTTTAATAAACTTAATGGTAGAATCTAGATGGTGGGTATTCACTGTAAAATTCTTTAAACTTTGCTGTATGTCTGAAACTTTTTTTATAACAAAATATTTAGTGTGTGGGGGGAGACCAATTACCCAAACCTTGGTAATTAAAACACTGCTTAAGATTTTACCTTTGGGTCATTTCATCTATAGAGACCCAACAAAAAATTGAATTTGAGATCCCAAGAGATCTTCCATAACTCTACCACATCTTGAGGTAGAGTTAAATTGGCCTTTCAGCAGACTCCAAAGGACAAAGGAGCCTGATTTTACTGGGAAATTAGGGATCCTCTTCTGTTCTCTTTCGTTTACCAGAAACTGCTCTTTCCTCAACTACTAGACTTTCCCTTACTAAGAGGCATTTCCTTCTTTCTCTGATATGATTCCTCACAAGCCTTATCAAAACACTTGCATTATTTTTATGAAAGAGCTTCTTCTCTTTTGAGATCGATGTTATCGGTCCATTCTATTTATCTATGGATGATAGCTTATAGTATCCTGAGTTTTTCCAACTGTACATTATGGCTTGCTCATAGGCCACACAGTCTATGAGACCTGCCTTGATCCAAAGGTTAAATCACTGGCCCTTCATTTGAGCTTTTCTTAGAATTTTTGTAAACTGTTCCACATATTTTCTATCTTCCTTTATAATTTTTTAAAATATTAAGTATTTGCCTTGAAACACTATGAATTTATAAATGTATTTGAATTGTTCTTAAGAAATAGCAGAAGCTGGCCACAGAAAGTATTCAATAATTAGCTGGTGATTAAAATGAACAAATAGTTTTTATATATTTAAATACAATCCACACATACTATTGGGATGTTGAAGAAAACACAAAAAAGTTATGATAGAAATTTTATGAGAGAAAGGGATCCTCTTGCTTTAGGTAATAATAATGTAACAGTCATATTTCACAGAATTAATAATTTTCTAAAAATTTTCTCCTTTACTGAGAAATCTTTAAATACTATCTTAACTGCTTACTTCAGTTTAGTATTAATAAAAAATGATTAGTTGGGCAGATGAAATGGTCATTTGGTGTTCTTCAAATTATTCAAGAAATATCAGGTCAACATTACAATTTTAAAAGAATTTCTTTAAGGCAGAAACAAGTATATTTGTCAGTGATATTAGGCAAAATCTGAAAATAGTATTGTAACTTCAACTGCAGAGCCTATATACAATAATTAATTACTTCAGTAAACTTTGTTTTTTCTTTTTTTGGCACCAGGGATCAAACTCAGGACTTTGCTGCAAGAGGCAGAACCACTGAGCTAAATTCCTGGCCCTTACAGAGAAACTTTTAAATTGCCTAAATGAAGCTATACACATAACTTCAATATATATATCATTGTGAGCACGTCAAAAGCCAGCTATGTCAGCAATGAGGAAGGCTTAATCTATTGAAGTAGCCTGCAGGGCATGCCAGAATTATCTCCACTTAAAAAACAGAGTATTTTCACATCAAAATATTCTCTGTATAACTTCTTATCCTTCCCTTTGTCCCTTCTTTTTTGTGCTGGAGGCCAGACTAAGAACCTTGTTCAAGTGTTCTATTATTCAGTTATAGCCCTAGCCCCAGTATCTTAAAGAGTGAATTAAGACTAGCATGTGAATGTAGTGGAAACTGACATGCCCTGGGCTCTATGAAATCTATGTTCAAATCTTGATTCCTCTACTTCCTAGTCTAGTAATTTGAAGAAGTCACTATCCCTCTCAGTCTCATTTTCCTCAGCAGTAATAACAGCCCTCAGAAGATTGTTATCAAGATTATATATAATATATACACAGTGAATAAGATTTGACTTCTATAGTCTCATGGAAGATCATTAAAAGCTATAACTTTTCTAAGAAAACTATTTCTGTCTGTCATGAATTTTGAGCCCCTTTCAAGATAGGAAAAGCTATATTTCCAGCATGTCCCTTATCATAGGGACCAAAATAAAAGATTTTGCAACTTAAAATTGTAAATTTGAATTAATATAGGATAAAGTGATACTATTTAAAAGTATAAATAAAATGTACAAAAGGGTATTATATTAAGAGACTAGATATAAAAAAAAAGAATTTTTGCAAAAATACAAGATCTTGCAAACTGTCATACAAGATAACGGCTTTTCCTAAAATGAAACTGTAAGGAAATATTAATATCTTGAATATAATTGTAAAAACATCCTCAGTAACATGGGAACTAGCAGAAAGAATCAACAACTGGGATCTCATCTTATTAAAAAGCTTCTGCACTGCAAAAGAAACCATCAACAGAACTAAGAGACAATGTACAATGTGGGAAAAATTTTTTACCAGCTGCTCCTCAGACAAAGGACTATTATCTAGAATATATAAAGAACTCAAAACAATTAGCCCCCCCCCAAATATAAGGACCCGGTTCAAAAATGGGCATCTGAAATGAACAGACTTTTCTCAGACAAAGAAGTAAAAGCACCAAGTAAATATATGAAAAAATGTTCCACATCACTGGTCATTTGAGAGATATAGATGAAAACAACACTGAGATTCCACCTCACCCCACAAAGAATGGCTGCTATCAAGAAATCAACCAATAACAAATGTTGGCGGGGTTGTGCAGAGAAAGGAATTCTTCTCCATTGTTGGTGGGAGTGCAGACTGGTGCAACCACTATGGAAATCAGTATGGAGATACCTCAAAGAGCTGGGATTAGGGGTTCCATTTGACCCAGCCATCACTCTGCTGGGTATCTTTCCAAAACAATTAAAAGAATCATACCAGAGTGATGTATGCACATCCATGTTTAAAGCAGCACAGTTTGTAATAGTTAAAACTTGGAAACAGCCCATTTGTCCATCAGTTGGAGACTGGAAAAAGATGTGGTTTTTCTATAAAATGGAATACTACTCAGCTATAAAGAATGAGAAATTAGAGTCATACATAGGAAAATGGATACATATTCAGGATATCCTCCTAAGTGAAATAAATAAGCCACACATGTGTAAATACCAAATAGTTTCTCTGGTGTGAGCAAACTATAATAGTACGTAAGATCCTAATGAGATAATTGACAATGTGAAATAGGAAGAAAAGGGCTAAAGGTACAGAAAAAGTGGGAAGAATAGGGGAAAGGTAATAAGGGAAAAGAAAAAAATATGAGAAAATGAAAAAATGGAAATAAAGCATTTATAAATGGGGAGGGTAGGAGGGGGTGAAGGGAGGGCAGGGACAAGGGGATAAAATGAGAACCAAGACCTGTCATGTAAAGGTACAAGATCCCAATGATGAATGTAACTGTACTGTATAACTAAAATGTACCAATAAACTCAATGAGAAAAGAAAAAAATCCTTCAAACGGGATGGATCTGACCAAAAAGAACCGATCTCTACAGATAAGGTTTTTATAAGTATATTGTTTTCAATTGAAATATCTTAACAAATTACTTGACTGTATACTCATGAAAATTTTTTTAAAGCAGGGACCTACATAACTATTTTTCACTTTTCTACAATGAAAAAATAATCATTTAAAACATTGTTTATTGTTTTATTATATGCATAAGAAATATGAATTAAATCTTCATGATGGTAAGAGAATCACTGTCATATCCAGAAAGAAACAAAAATTTTCACTTATAAGAATGGCTCATTAGAAATAAAGTGTAGTGTTCTAATATAAGTCAAACATGGAATAGTAAATGGGAATTGACCTTACAGATCATCTACTCTAATCTCACTTTATAGACAGGTAAATTTAGTGTTAGAGAGGTTAACTGACAACTGTGAACAGTTAAGAGAAATAGGCAGGAAAAAACAGGCTTCCTGATTACAGTCAGCATATAGGCAGATTTCACAAAGCGCTATACAAACCACACCCTACCTATGGGCTTACGGGGCTTTTCAAACCCTGGGTAATAGTAGAGGTGAGTCCCAGCAGACCACAGGGCAGTTTTCCGTGGGAAACTCACCTTCGGTGTTGGAGATGGGGAAGCTGTCACATTTGCTCTCACACTGCTGCACTGAGGGAGGCCGAACAGTTTCTGAACAATCACTGGATGTCTGTCCAGTATAGGAGAGACACTGTACAGTTCTCATTTGCTGGCCAAGGCCACACTGAGCAGAACACTAAATTCAAAGACAAAGAGAAACAAAGGACTGATCTTAGCAGTTCTCAGAGGTAAAAAAAAATAATAAAATAATAAAACCATATATATCAACTTTTGGGGAAGGTAGTACTGGGGACTGAACCCAGGGTCTTTGCACTGACCTACATTGGCAGGTTGTAGAGAGGGAAAGGGGATGCCACTAGGACCTCTGCAGTAAGTCCTAGTCTCCTGAGAGCCAGGACAGCACCAGGTGAATTGACTTATCCAAAAAGGTAGAAAAAAACGAGACTTTGACAAGAAGCTGATCAATGCTGCTCTGAGCAGCAAAGACGAAAGCCCCAGAACCTGCCAGCTTTTATTCAGTACACTGGAGAAACAAATGTAACAAATGACTCAGGACAGAGAGTTCAGTACATTGGGAGAAGCAGATGTTAACAGATCACTCTGGGGTTTGGGGGAAGTGGAAATCAAACAAAAACAAGGAACTATGCAGGTGAAGGTTTTGTTCCTCCCAGGATGCCTTCAGCAGGTGCAAGCTTGTCCTGGAGCATCACAGCATCACTGGACTATTGAGGTCCTAGCTGTGACCAGAGGCCAAAATGGACCATGTCTCAAAATGCCATAGCTGGCCTGGAGGCAGGAAAACTAGGCCTAATCAAATGATTTTTTGCCAAAATTATATAGAGCATAACACCAGCTATTTATTTTTTATTTTGAGACAGGATCTCACTAAATTGCCCAGGCTGGGATTGAGTTTGTAATCCGCCTGCCTCAGCCTGTCAGAGTGCTGGAATTACAGACACATACCACCAAGCCTAACCATGCATATTGACTTTAAAGCCCACATGTGGTTCATCTTTGAGAGGTGTCATTCTACTATAGAACTGGTTCCAAAACTCAAGGATCATATTATAGAAAATAGAGGCAATGTAGTTAGAAGAATATCATAAATGGAGATTTAATGGGCTATTCCTCCAACAATTCCAAGCAAAGCTGGTGAATTCTAGAATTTTTAGGTCTTCTTCATTCAACCTTTGTAATTCATAGGTATCTAGCAATCTGTCCATTTCTTCTGTGCTTTCCATATTATTGCTGTATAGGTTCTCAAAGTACGATGTATTGATGATCTTCTGTATTTCTGATGGGTCTGTTATAATTTCACCCTTTTCATTCCTAATTGCATGGATTTGGGCCTTTTCCTTTTTTTTTTTTTTTTTTTTTTTTTTTTGATAAGATTGGCTAAGGGTTTGTTAATTTTGTTTATTCTTTCAAATAACCAATTGTTTGTTTCCTTAATTTTTTTGTATCATTCTCTTAGTCTCCACCACATTGATTTTTGCTCTAATCTTAATAAATTTCTCCCTTGTATGAGCGTTGGGTTTGTCCCGCTCTTCTATTCTTGAAGTGTGAGGAGACTATTGTTTTTTTTTTTAAATGGAAGCATTAGATGCCATTCTTGAAGTATCATGTTAACTGAAGGAATTATTTGAAGTTCTGAAAGAAAAATTGACTACATTGGAAAGACTGGAAGGCTCAGCACCGGGAACTACATTTAAAAATTTGTTTTTAAGAAAATAATGATCTCAAAAGTATAGAAAAAGTAAAATATACTATACCTTTCTTCTCATCCTGCTACTATTAACTTACTTGAAAATATAAATTTTGAGCAATCATATGCAACTTCATAACCTCTATCTTCCCTCGTGTACTAGGCTTTATATAGAAGTAGACAGGCTCATTAAAGTTTGTCCTTTTAAAAATATTCATTATTGGGATAAAGAAGAGTAGAATGTTGAAAATTTTTCTTGATTTCAGCTTAACATCATCATACAATATGTAGCCTTTTCAGATTAGTTTTATTCTCCTAGTAATATGCACTGAAGATGCCTACATAAACCACTCTCACGCAGATTTCCATGCAAAGACACATTTGCCAAATGAACTCCTCTATAACAGTTAGTAAAGGTTTCAGTCCATAACCAGATGACTTCAAGGCAGGGATGACAAACAGGCACGGCAGAGCAGAAACAACATGGCACACACAAGGCAGCAAAGGTAACAAGAGCAAGCTGGTGAATTCTAATAGGCAGGCAATGAGAAAATTCTTGGTATGAAGCACAATAATCAGATCGGTATTTATTATAGATGTGCAGGCAAATAAACTGATGGCCTATTGGAGTACTCTGTATTTCATCAAAATGTTAGCCTAGTATAATAACTGACTGTTTTGGGCCTGCTGTTGGGATCAGTTTGAAATGAAAGCCTGAACAAATAAAAAAGAAAAAAAAAACACTTAAATAACTACTGTAAGTAGTCTAAGGCACAGTCAGGAACACAGACCTGAGAAGTGGTCTGGTCTTAGCCATTTAGCACGTTTACCTATCCTTTTTCATCTACTCAGGAACTCAGTCATTCAGGGGTGAAGCTATTCTGAGTGACTTAGTTTTAACTAAGATTTAGCAGTGCAGATTGAAGAATAGAGTGGGGTCTGTTCTTTTGGGCCTTCTATCTAGAAAATCAAAAATCCTGTAAGATTTGGAATGAGGAGCCTACTGGCACAAAGACAGGAAAGGTATGTTTATGAGGTAAACAAAGTGAAGCCCTGTTGGATTCGTCTACAAAGCTGTCAAAGTACCCACAGGATTTGCAAAAATATTCATCAGACACTTTAAGAAATGAATGCACTAAATGTACTAAAACATTTTTGAAGATGTATTTTCATTGTTTCTCTTTTTTAATTTTAGGAGACTGGATTGAAAATGAAGATTTGACAACATTTAAAAGAATAATCTCGAACTGACAATAGATATTTTACAAACATACACAAACTTTCGATTGACCTTTATATAATAGTGCTTTGCATTAAGAAATATATATGGAAGAAAATGTCTAGATTGTTTAAAATAAAAATCATAAGAACAAGTCTGTACTGATTCTTTTTTTGTACCAGGGATCACACTCAGGACTTTGCATTTCAGAGGCAGGCGCAGCTCTGCTGAGCTAAATCCCTGGCCCTTGTACCTTCCTTTCTTCCCTTCATTCCTTCCCTTCCCCTTCTTCCCTTCCCTCCCTCTCTTTCTTTATTCCTTCTTTCTTTTCTTTTTCTATTTGTTACCAGGGATTGAACTCAGGACCTTGACAGATTCTTTAATAGTATAATATGAATTATGTATTGTGAAGTTCTGACACTTCTAGAGTAAAACATTTTGGTAATGGCACATAACGCTTAGAGAGGTCTCAGAAGAATGAGGAGACTTTCGCTGCAAAGACAGGGATGCTGTATATACAAGGTAAACAAAGTGAAGATTTTTAGAAGGTCTACAACTTTTTTTTTTTTGGTCCTGGGGATTGAACTCAGGAACTTGTGCTTGCAAGCCAGGCATAGTGCCACTGAGCTAAATCTCCAGCCTGGTTTATAACATTGTATAGGATTATCAAGTATATTCCATTTGAATATTTTGAAAATTAAACTAAATAAACACAGATACAAAATTTTAACTATTTTGTAATCATACTTCTCCCCATAGAGCAAAGAGCACAAACAAAATCATACCAGCACAGATATATGCTATTTTGATTTATTTGGGCCACAGATATTAGAAAATGACTAGCTACAAGGCCAATTGAAACCACAGGATAAGAGCACTCATTGCCTATAAAGTTACTTTCTGCAGTATTAATTTTTAATGTAATTTAATAGATTTCTTTTTTAACATTTAGAACAATAATTTTCCTTCTATTCAAGTATACTAACTTGGCTTTTTATTAAATAGTTTTTAATAATTGATGGGGAAAATTTTGTGCATTTACTGTGTGCACCTTGACATTTTGAAGTATATTTATGTGTATATGTAGTGAAATGATTAAATCTAGCTAATTAACTTAGGCATTACCTCACATAGTTAACATTTTTTGTAATGAGAACCAACTTGTTTTTATAGGGATCAAAGTAGCCTAAGCAAAATAACACAAAGTAAAAGTATGTGAGAAAGAAAAAAGAAAAAAATAGGAATTTGAACCTAAAATGGAAATGAGTCTAATACAAAAATACATACCAAATGCCCTATATACTTGATTCTAAAATCACAGTATCCATTGGAGAAAAATAAATCATGTTAAGAGTATTAATAATATTTCTAACACTGTCTATCATATTACCAAACTAATTAAATTCACCAAAACTTTTCCATGAGATTATCAGAGGATAGAATAGAGGATTATCTCTGTTTTGCAAGTGGAAAAATTGAGACATTGATGTTAAGTGATTTGTTCTTTAGCTGAGAGAGCTAGAGTTAGAATCCAATTTTGATGGCTTGTTCAAGTCTCCAGCCATCTCATTTTATCTCTTAATTTTAACTTAAAATAGCAGTCAAGAAGTCAGCTGTGGTGGTGCACACCTGGAATCCCTGAACTTAGTAGGCTGAGGCAAGAGGACTGCTGAGAGTTCAAGGCCAGCCAGGACTACATAGTCCAACTACATAGCAATAACCTGTGTGTCAAAGAATCTTCCCCCAAAAATGTAGGTAAAAGATGGATATATATATATATATAATATATATATAGCTAAATAAATATATATTAGCACATATATAGCTGCTGTGATTTTGTACTGTTTCTCACTCAATTCTCAGATTTCTTAAAAAAAATTTTTTATTAGTCTATGTTTGTAATACATCATAAAACACATTCACTGTGGGTAACTGGTACAAATGCATACCACCTTAATCCTTTTAACTTTCTCTTCCCCTCTCCTCCCTTCCATCTTCCATCTCCACAAAGTCTACCTCCCTGTTTTCTGTTAAATTTCTTTGTGTTAATGGTTACTAATCTCTCACATCCTCACAAGACCAAATTCGGAACCTCAGATTTGTGTCTGAAAGTGCAGCTTAAGCAAGAACTCACAGTCTAATGTCTTACCTGGCCCCAGTCTCCTGTCACCCAGCGAGGAGGTGGGCAGCGCCCCAAGCTGCAGCGGATGCGGACAGGAGGTTTGTTCTCCTCTGGACACTGTGCAGCTGGAAATGTTTTAGAAAGGTCACTGCTCTTGCACAGAACAATACGATGCTTGTATCCTGGACCACATTTTGGAGTACACTGGAAATAAAGCAAATATTAATAAATAACAATAGTTAAAAACAGGAAAACTGGAGGAAAATCTTTTTAAAGTAAATGTGCTTATGTACAGTATACACATGCACTCTAAATTCTAGGCAAAATCTTTCAGATATGAAATGCTTTAAAAGTTCTTAAGCAGAAGTAATTTTTAGTTTTATCTTTTCCCTAAGGTCTTTAAGAGCTAAATCCAATGTTTGTTTCTCTTGGCTAACTAATTTTCTTCTTTTAATAGGGATAGGTTTATTCCTCTATTCATCACAATCATTGGCCTAATTCAGCTGTGATAGATTCTTCTAAGTTCTGTAATGTGGAATCCTTGGTTTCTTATTTGTTGGGTGGAGTCTTCTGAAAAATAATTGCTATGTTATTAGTAGACCACAAGACCTTGTCTCTGTGAAGCAAGTTTTAAATGGTATAGATCAACTATTTCATTGTGTAGAAGTTAAGAATATATGGTCACAGTTGAAGGTTTATTGCACAGAAAATCACTAGACATTTCTTTATCCTTCAGTTACAAATAATGAATCTGACTATTTTTTACAATTAGGTATATCTGTTCTTCATACTTAGGAAAAGATACTAAATCACAAATCCTATTATTTACTTCATCTATAGACATTTCTGTAAGTCACCTATTTAACACAGTGCCTGACTGAAGTTCTCCAAGTCTGGACCCTTTCTTAAAACCTGTACTTTTTCTTAGACAAGTGAGGGCCCTACCCACAACATTTAGAAGCACTGTATATGAAACTTCCATTCAAAATACATTTCCTGATGACCACACCAGATTTGAGGGACACATAAATGAATGAGATAATCTACTCTCATGGAGCTAAGAGTCATATTCAGGAGACAGAAATGTGAATACAGGTTAATATTAAGGGTGGATGTAGAAGAGAGATTCATGTAGGCCTAATCACCAATAACCAGTTTTATAATTATTTATTTATACCCCTTCTCATGTCTACCATACTATAAGCTCCTGAAAATTTTGACTTCTGTTTCATCTTTACACACACACACACACACACACACACACACACACACACCTTACTCCTAGGATACAGCTTAGGGTTTTGCGTATGCACCTCATAAATGTATGTTGTCTTTTATCTGGAAAGATATTGGTTTTGATTCATCTATGAAGATGTCTTAGTGAACACTATTTGCACCTAATGGTTTTGTTGCTGGTTTGAGACTGGTGTATGTCATAGAAAAAGAGAAAAATACTGACTTTCAAAAATCATATACAATCTCTTTATCACAATGAATTTAGTAATAAAACACATCTCCTCCAATTTAGAAAAAGTTTTATGAAGTTGTATTCTGAAGGAAAATAACATATATAGTTCTTTCCAAGATAGCTCCAGCAGAGGCAATAGGAAGTTAAGGTCAAGACAGAAATTTTTTATTTCTGCCATTCCTTTTTATAGATAACTTGACATGTGTATGTCTTGTTCCTGCCTCACTCTGCTCATTAATCAAACACTAAATGTTATTAACCAAATTCCTAAATCTCTATCACATTTATTGATTTATATCTCTATTGCCACTAACCTTTTCTCAAACAAACATCAATTTCCCACATAAATTTTTCAGCTACTTCCTAAAAACTGTTGTGTTTCTCATTCTTGCTTCAGTCCAATCCACTTTCTAATGGTCTGTCTAAAGGGACCTGTCTACAGCACAATATAATAATATTGTCTTCTGGTTTAAAAAGAAAATCTTCCAGTGGCTTAGGATTGCTTACAAGATAAAAAATTCAACTCTGTAATGGACTGGGATGTAGCTCAGTGGTGTGTCATTTGCCTAGTATGCACAAGGTCCTGCATTTGATCACTAGCACTGCAAAATCAAATCAAAACAGAAACAACTAATTTCTTTAAATATGTTTACTACACCATGATAGTAAGGCTATACTTACCTCTGCATAGTCATCACTATATATACCAGCCATACTAAATATTTGTATTATTCTCTAGTGCTAGCCTAATTCCAGGCAAAAAGCTAATTTCTGTTGCTGCTCTGCTATAAGTACTATCAGTGCTACCACTACTACTAATAGCACCTATCATTTAATAAATAGTGTATAGGCTAAGTGCTGTGCTAACTACTATAACTTATAGGATCCTTAAAAAATTCCTGTGAGATGGCTATTATTATTATTATTGCTGTTGTTGTTATTTTGGTTCCAGGGATCAAACTTGAGAATTTGTGCTTGTGAGGCAGGCAGTGGAACCACTGAGAAAAATCTCTGGCCCCCAGCAATTATTATTTTTTAAATGAGGAAACATAGAGTGATAAGTAGAAATTTGAACAGATATTAAATGGTGAAACTATTCTAATGCTAATTCTGATGGGTGTTTCCTGAACGTTAGGTCCTATACTATGTAATTTGCATATACGGTCTAATTTAATCTTCATAATCCTACCAATTTAGACTTTCAAGAAACAAAGTCATAAGGGAGGGCAGGGACAAGGGGAAAAAATGAGAATCAAGACCTGTCATATAAAGGTACAAGATCCCAATAATGAATATAACTGCACTGTATACCTAAAATGTACCAATAAACTCAATGAGAAAAAAAATAAAAAAATAAAAAAGAAACAAAGTCATACAATATTTTTTTTATAATGAATAAAGCTCTGATCCAGACTTTTGAGTTTGCCCCACTGGTATCCAGTGCTCTTGACTTCACACCAAATCTACTAAATCATCTAAGCCTAATGTTAGAGGATTTCTGCCACTCTCTGAATGCTTAATGTTATCATAGTAAGAAGAACATTGCCAAGACCTGTCATGTAAAGGTACAAGATCCCAGTAATGAATGTAACTGTACTGTATACCTAGAATGTACCAATAAATGCAATTTAAAAAATTAAAACTTATAATTTTAGGTTGTAAATGTGACAAAGCATATAATAAAAAAAAAAGAACAGTGCCATCTTACCTCCTATTAGTTCATCACAGTTCACAAAATACTAAGAAATACCTCATCAAATATGGTTTTTGGGGGAATTACTACAGATGAGGAAAGAGCTTAAATGACTTAATGAAGGGTAAACAGTAAAAGGTAAAGCCAGAACTAAATTTTAGGCCTTCTGACTCATTATTTAGGACCTATTCATTATTTATTCATCTCTTATTATTGCAGGCTGTTTTTCATTCCAGCAGGAACAAATTCATAACAATACATAATAAATATTAATTAATTGATTATTATAAAAATAAATGGAGATGCAGTGTGAGATGATAGAAGTCCCCTTCATATTTTAAGAAGATAGAAGAATTAGTTTTTGTATTATAAAGCTACAATTAATGTCTAATTTGGGAGTTTACCTTTTAAAAATGTACTGGTGCCACTTCCTTGCCCTTGTCACATTTTAAAATTATGTGTAGTATATTAAAAGGCTGAGGCACATTTATTTTTGCCTATCATAATATCTTTCTCCAGTAGCAATAAGCTTTGACTATTATTTTAAGAATGTAGTAATATCTAGAAAAGTTTTCAAAGACCTTATGCCAATTGCTGCTTACAATTAAGGGAGTCAGACAAACAATTCATCCATCTGTCTTAGGACACTCAGGAAGCCAAAATGCAAACTAAATACACAAGACTGACAATGAGATGAAGTAACACCAGAATTTATTAAGCCCTTTGATTGTGATAACCTAATCTTCTTTGAAACCCCATGAAGGCTGTCTATTTTCATGCCTATTTCATACGTGATGAAACTGAAGCACCCAGAATCACAGTCAGGTCCAGATGGAAGATTCTTACCTGAAGAAAGCTCAGGTAGATGAGTCAAAAGACACAAGCCACCTACAGGACAACACGCAGTCATATGCAAAGGCAATCATACAATGACTTCTACTTAGGCAAGAAATCATTTTAGAAAATCACACTCAAATACTACTAAATAAGCCAAGGACAATTCTGTTCCATAGCAATAAAAGTGGACAATCAACTGGATTCTCAAAATAAGGGATAGTGGAAAACTACATTAATTACTTCTCTATCTATGGTCTTGCTCTCTGTGATTTTGTGGTCTAAATATATTAAATGGAAAATTCCAGAAGTAAACAATTTCATGAGTTTTAAATTGCATACCATTCAGTGTCATGTGACAAAATCCTAAGTCCCGCCTAGTGCATGAATCATCCCTTTGTCTAGCATATCCACACTGTTTGCTCTACGCCGCTAACCCCAGTCACTTAGCTATCTTGGTTATCAGACATCTCGCTAACACAATGCTTGTGTTTAACTAACCTTTATTTTACTTCAAACTGGCCCCAAAGTACAAGAGTAGTGATGCTGGCAATTGGAATATGCTAAAGAGAAGCTATAAAGTGCTCCCTTTAATTGAAAAGGTGAAAGTTTTCAACTTAAGGACAAAAGAAAATCATATGCTGGGGCTGTTAAGATCGATGGTAAGAATGAATCCTTTGACCAAGTGTACTTGTGAAACTGAAGAAAGAAAAAGAAATTTATGATAGTTTTGTTCTTGCAGCTCAAATGTAAATATCATGGTCACAGTGTATGTTAAGTGCTTAATTAAGATGTAAAAAGCATTAAATTTATGGGTAAAAGACATGAGCAGAAAACAAGTTTCAACTGACTGCAAAGTCACTGAGTCATATGAAAACTTCAGCAAGAGATCCTCTGAAATGAAGGACACCACACCATTCACTGCATGTAAAGGATTGGACTGAAAAACAAAAATTACTGGAGTGGCTGCATCTGCCCTGAAGAAGATACTGCCATATATCTAGCAGAGTTGAAGAAGCTGATTAAGAAGAAAGGATTCCAGAAGAAGAAAGAAGGAAGAAGGAAGAAGGAAGAAGGAAGAAGGAAGAAGGAAGAAGACGAAGACGAAGACGAAGACGAAGACGAAGAAGAAGAAGAAGAAGAAGAAGAAGAAGAAGATAGAAGAAGGGAAGGGAGGGGAAGGAAGGAAGGATTCCATTCAAAGCAAGT